GTCACAAACATTTGACACTTAAACTTAAAATGACATTTGCGTGTCAAATAAACTTAATCTGAAAAAAGTTTCCCAGCAGCCTCGGTGATAAACAAACCAGATCCCTCCGCAGTGAAAGCTCAGTGTTACACAGTGAGTGAGATTTATACACAAAAACAGGAGAAACATGGCAGATAAAGTGACTCTGACTCCTTCCAGCGAGGAATATCTTGGCTACGATTGGTAGGCACACACTGACAGCTGTGTGTGTGTGTTTGTGTGTGTGTGTGTGTGTGTGTGTTTTATTTCAAACCTTTGTGTAAAAGCCATAATGTTGATGAGTGTTTTGTAATAGATTTGCTCCCCTCTGGTTTTCTGGAAACTTCTGCTGCCTCTTTGTGCTGAGTGAAGTCATAAGAGCTTTATTGTTGTGTTAAAAACTGGAGCCTGACGGACAGATCAGTCAGCCGATATCACAGACGTATCGATATCGGTGTGTGTTACCCCATGAGCGCCGATATGCCCGTGGTAATGTATTGGTGTCAGTTTATCCAGCAGAGGGCGCTGTGATGGGACCAGCAGCATGGAGAAAGAGAGAAGCAGCTCTCAGACATGTTAACTAGAACTGGGTTACAGTTTATATGTTACAATATGTCACTTTTAATATTCTTTAATACAATTATTAGTTTAAGAAAGCAGCTAAGCAAAATGTAATTATACCTGTAATCAGTGACTATTTCCCCTCTGGTATCTGTGTCAGACTCCAACATATCGTCTCGGTCCACTGTAAACGTGCATGTTTTCACAAACTTGACTAATTCCAGCATTACAGGTGGCTTTAGCTGTTAATGCTACCTGTTGAGATGTTGGGATGAGAGGGTGAGGGTGTGTCTCTTTGTCGGTTGGCAGGAACATTGTGTCCTGTTGTCTGAATACTGACGGGTAGAGTTCACACACTGTGGCCTCTCAGTGGTGTTTTATTACACTGCGACTCTTCTCTTCCAACAGGATAAACAAGTGACAGACGATCAGTGATTATTGGTGATTATTGGTTTATTTTACTGCACTTGATGACTCTGTTGCTTCCAGTAAAAGTGTTTGTAGTCTGAAGGGGCAGAAGGTAAACCGGAGCACATTCATGCTTTTTGGTTTCTGTGTCTGATTTGATTTGAGTGTTTTTCCACTCGCTGTAGAGAAATGAAACCCTGCTTTTCACTTGTCAGCACGTTCTGATACAAGTCGAAGCAGTGCAGGGCAGATCGAGGGATAAATGAGGAGAGAGGGAAGAAAAGACTGTGAGGGAGGGAGGGAGGAAGGGAGGGAGGATCTGGACCGTTTCCCAGTCGCTAAAATAAATAACATTCTGTTCTCCTCACTTTTGGACATTTCTTCCCTATTTTTGCTATCAGTTCTGGTCCCACTTGGTAAAAAAACAGACCCAGGAATGGGTATAGAGCTGAACTCTTTGGGTATGATCACCCGTAAGACGTTTTTATCCGTCGCCCCGTTTAAAAAACACCATAGGAATTTTCAGACTAAAAGAGCTCGAGAAGATCCCAGAGGATCCAGATAAAGATCCCAAAGGATCCAGATAAAGATTCCAGACTTTCAGTGGGACTTCAAAAGGGCAATAGTTAAAGGTCCATTGTGTAATATTTAGGAGGATCTATAGGTGTGTTTTCCTTACTGTATAATCACCTGAATATAAGAGTTTTTGTTACCTTTAGATTGAGCCTCGTCTACCATAGAAGCCTAGAACGGACAAACACTGGCTCTATACTGCAGAAACTTCACCACTAGATGTCACTAACTTCTTCACATTGATCATTTAAAGTGTCTCTGAAGTCCAGAAGACTGAAAGCTGTACCTCTTGATTTTTATTATAATATAATTAAATGTTTTCACATGTTTTAGTGCATAGGTCCAGACCTGAAAATCTGAGCTCATAGTGCTGAACAAGTTCTATAATTTGTGATGTGATGTAACTTTTTTAAGGTGAAATAAACTTCTTAATAAAAATAGCATTTAGTGGCATCTAGCTGTGAGCTTGCAGATTAAAACCATTTGAATGGTTGCAGCTACGGTTGCTGCAGAACTTGTGAGAAAGACGAAAGGGCGTTGGTTTGTCCTTTCTGGCACCGCGTTAGAGAGAGAGAGAGAGAGAGAAACGTGGTGTGACTGAGTGTTGTTTATCGTGGTTTTAGGACTCAGAGAAATGTCAACAAGCTGAGGAGGGTGGCATGATCTAAGATTTCTGTGTTGATCCTAGACTCTGGACTTTTTTGTCCCGCTTCAACTCATGTTTTTCTCTCCACGTTCCCACATTCTTTCTCTCTCCCCCATGTCTTTTCTCCTCCTCCACTCTCCCTCTCTAACCTCATCTTTCTAACCTCCTTCCACTGCCTTTTTGTTCCTGTCATCCACTCATTCCTTCCCATTTCTCCTCTTTTTGTTTCCTGTTTTAATCAACAATAATATATATAATATATAATAATCAAGTCTAATCATCTCTGTTTGTCCCTCTTCCTCCTCCTGTAGGACCAGTTCGGAGCAAAGGAAGCTGCGTTCTCGTGATGCAGCCAGATGTAGGCGAAGTCAGGAGACCGAGGTGTTTTATGAGCTCGCCCGCACTCTGCCGCTCCCCCGTCGAGTTTCCACCCACCTGGACAAATCTGCCATCATGAGAGTCTCCCTCAGCTTCCTGTGGATGCAGCGCCTCCTCCGATCCGGTAAGGAGCACATCTCCAGAAGGTTCCACAGTTCTCCCAATTATTAAGAAAAAAAACAGGAAACAACAAAACATTAGTGCAGTAATACAGCGACAATATCCACTATCAGTGTGAGTCCATACAGTCAACACTGAGCAACAAACACAGTTAAGAAATACTGTCTATGATCAGTTTACACATGCAGGGCGGATATAAGACATAACTAAAATCCACAATCATGATGCTGATCTTGATGCAATGTTAAAAGATGCAGTAACGAGTCAGTAAGAACACATGAGCTTTACAGCACAGAGCTGTAAGACCAGCAATAAAAGATCACAACACATTCTTACTACAATCCTAGTAAATACGGCACCCAAATCATACAAGGCTGAACAAAGTTTAAAGTGTTCACGTGTCTGAAAAGAGCGTCGAGGCTTTGTGTGAAGGTGTGATGTGGCACGGTACCTTATTCGTTGGTAGGTTTTTCACGGTTGAGAAGCTGATACATAAAAACCAGATTGGGTGAAGGAGTTGGACCTGTGAGGGTTTTCACAGTCCCCCCTCAGCAGAGCTATTGTTTGAGCTGTTCTGCTGAATAAAAGTGGTGGAGGAGTCTGTTTTCTGAGTTATGTTTCTATATTTTGCATATTTATGCATATGTGCTTTATTTATTTTGTAATGGGAGCTGCAGGGAAAGTTTCCTTGAGTGGATAAAACGGTGAAATGCAACCAAGCTAAAATAATCGTATAAAAGTTTTTAAACCATGAAAACTGCTGTTAGGGCATTTCTGTTGAAGGAATTCATTAAAGTGGAAGTTAAACTCGTATTCTGGATGGCTTGGCTGAACAGGGTTCTGGGTGATCATTAGGTTACCTCTAATGAAGACACACTGATGAATTGCTTCCAGGTTTTACTCTAGCTGTTGGTTGGCTTTAAACAAAATGCTGAAACTTGCAAACTCTCTTGTAACCCTTTAAAACTTTGTGGATTTCCAACTTCTATCATTGTTAATGATTGATAGAAATTGTAGAGTTTGTAGCGTGAACCTTTTTCTGTTTCTGAAGGGGATGTGAGAACCACTGTCCTAACTGAAGAGGTAAGAACATGTAAGGACATTTCTATCTGGACGTTGTATCGCAGTCTGATTGTTTTGTGTGAGCTCAGACGCAGATACACATCAGCAGTGCATAGCGTAAGCCTCAGACATATCTCGCCCCTACATCTCTACATTTCCCCTCCATGACCGACTGGATTTCAATAGTGAAATCAGTCAGGCATCAAAGGCTGCGTGATGGGAAAAGCAGCTCTCTGCACCGTCACTGTTAGGTTATGAGTTGGCTCAGTATTGTGTTGTTCCCTCAGGTTAGAGAGCGGAATAATGAAGTCATCAATAATAAATGGACAAAGCAGAATCTTTATTACTATGAAATATACATCAGATTGTGGAGTGGGGTTCAGCTGACAGCTTTATTCATACCTGGAAATGGACTCACTGGAGGACAACAAAGGTTTATTTTACTCAACTGTTGATGAAGTTTCTTTTAAAATTAGGGTGAGGGGTCATGGCGCCAACATGTTCGATCAATGGGAAATACTTCCTTCAAAAGTACGCGGTCTCCCACAAATGAGGCAGAGTTACAGTAAAATATTTAGATTTTGTTTGTGAGACAAACACTAAAACAGTCTGTCGTAATAATCACACGGTCGTTTTTACAGCAGGTGAGACTAAGAAAGAGGAAGAGAAGGAAGAGGAAGAGGAGGAGGAAGAGGAGGAGGAAGATCCAATGGACACTTTTTATCCTCAGGCGCTGGCTGGCTTCATCATGGTGATCACTGAGGAGGGAGACATGATCTACCTGACAGAAAGCGTCAGCAGACACATCGGCATCACACAGGTACCAAGAATAAAGGAATAATTACATAAAGTAGTCTGTTCACATATTTAGTTTCCTCTCTCGGGACCAGCTGCCATTCTGTGTGACGGTCTTGTGATAAGTCAGCATCAATGTTTCTGTTTACTCCAGTGTTTTTCCCACTGAATCATCCAGTGGTAGTGTTCTCACAGCGCTCCGCCGCAGACGAAAATGTGAGGAATCATCACTTTAACCACAAAAAATAAGACGTTCAGTTTCCCTGTCGGCCTTTTTAGGTTAATTAAACTTTAGAAAGTCGACGCATTTGTTTTACAAGAAAACCACCATCATCAAAATAACTGAAAATGGCATTATTTTTACTCCTGTATTGAAGCTGCATTGTTTCTCATTTGGCTGTTTCTCCACAACTTTCATTTCTTCAATTGGATTTAGTGGTTTTACTGAAAGCCTGTGGGACAGTACGTGACCCAATCTGAGTAACTCGAGCGTGATGGAGAGCAGAGAGAGAATCTTAAATCTATTCTTAGCTCCGTTTGAGATCAAGTTTGCCATTGAAACATGCCAAGGTTATGACATGAACTGCAGAATGAAATGTACTGTCCCTCTGTGTACAGTACAGCTGTAATGAGGCAGGAAGGTTGAGCAGCTCACAGATCTCAGGCAATTCAGATTTAACAGCACTACAATTAAAACCATTATAAACCTTTTAACCTTTTAACATGCCGACTCTCAAACTCACACTGACTGTTTGTTTTTTGTTGTGTACAGCTGGACCTGCTGGGCCACAGTATTTATGACTTTGTTCATCCCTGTGATCAAGAGGAGCTCAGAGACCTGCTGACTCCGCGTCCAGGTCAGACTCACTGTTTGTTATCACCATGAAAGTCCTTAAAAACAGAGACGCTGTTCAAGATTTACAAACAGGAATTATAACGTAAAGCTTGGACCTCTGTTAAAATGGTAACTTTGGTATTTTCCAACCTGGACCTCGTTTTTGTGTCAAAGTAACGAACAGAGAACCATGTCGCCTGTTTTGGTGCAGCAGGCCGCTGCACTCTCACTCATCACTGGAACAAAGTCAAAACTTGTTGTGTTCATTGGACACTTATGAGGTGGTCCAGGTCCAGGTTGAAAAATACCAAAGTTCCCCTTTAATGTTAAACAAACTTATTTGTCCAAGAAAGTATTTCTTCGTGTGAGAAGAACGTTTTAATTTCTCCGTCCGTCGTTGATCTCCAGTGTTGCTTTGGAAACAGATCTCAGAAAAAGACTTTGAGCTGATAAATGTCTGTGAGCTAGCTGTGTCAGCTTTGTCGTGTTGCTTTCAGGTTCGAGTAAGAAACCGCAGACAGAGCAGCCGAGTGAGAGGAACTTCTTCCTGCGAATGAAGAGCACTCTGACCAGCAGGGGGCGCACCGTCAACATCAAGTCTGCTTCCTGGAAGGTTCAATATTGCAATGACTGTATTTATACACACACACACACACACACACACACACACACACACACACACACACACACACACACACACACACACACACACACACACACACACAGAGTCCAGCCTGAGATATGATCTTAATGTGGGTCAGAGCATGTCTGGCAGTCGGCCCAGTCCTCTTCAGTGAACACGGTTCACTTTGTTTACTATGTATCACCTTTGGACTCGAGTGATAAAAAGGACTTGACCTACTCGGCTACTTGTCTCAACTCTTAACGACTTTAAACTTGAAAGCAGAAAGTCCCAAGCCTGATAAAACTATAAAACAATAAAGAATACACAGACACTGACAGGCTATCTGATATGAGTAGTTACAGTGGTTAATACTTAACTATTAACAGCTTTGAAAGGAAAATGTTGACTTGTGACTTGACTTGAATGATTTCCAAGATTCTTTGATAGTACATTGTATTATTATTGGCTGTAAGTGTTAAATTAAACACGGCTACATTGAATACATTTGGCTTTTGGATGTTTTGTTGTCAGTAAATCAAAAACCAATACTCTGTCTGAAGTGAATCTCTGCTCGGTCTCTGCAGGTTCTCCACTGCACAGGTCACATGCGTCCATTTGGTGGCGGCTCCACGTCGCCTCCTGCACCCAGAGTGATGACTCTGCTGTGCGAGCCCATCCCTCACCCGTCCAGCGTGGAGTTCCCTCTGGACACCCACACCTTCCTCACCCGCCACACCATGGACCTGCGCTTCACCCACTGCGAGGGCAGGTAGGACGAGTCCTCGGGATAACAGGAGAGAGAGAATCTCTGAAGCTTTTTGTTTGTAATTTTAATTCTTCTGCTGTTTTTCTTCCACATCTCTGTTTCCAGGGTGACAGAGTTGGTGGGATACAAACCTGACGATCTGATTGGTCGCTCGGCTTACCAGTTTCATCACGCGCTCGACTCTGATCACATCAACAAGAGCCTGCACACATGTGAGTTTGTGTTTGTGTGTGTGTGTGTGTGTTTGTGTGTGTGTGTGTGTGTGTGTGTGTGTACTGAACTATAAAAGAGACAAACTGTACTGAACCCAATGCTAACAGTTATTAATAAATAAAGCTGTGTTTTTCACTCGTTTTAACTTTAATAAACTTCATAAACACCTCTCTTAGAACAGTAATAATACTGTATATAAACCTTTTAAAACACAGAGTCACTAGTTTTGGTGTTGCACAAATGTTATAACTCTGTAAATAAACCAGACTGTTCTCTGTTTATGTCCCCGTCTGTCTGTCCACACTGTGTAGTGCTGTCCAAAGGTCAGGTGAGCACCAGCCAGTACCGTTTCCTGGCGAACAGCGGCGGTTTCGTCTGGGCGGAGACCCAAGCGACCGTCCTCTACAGCAGCAAGACATCACAGCCCGAGGCCGTCGTCTGTCTCAACTTCATCCTCAGGTACGAGGTCATGTCACATGACTCCTGCTCCAACACAGAGACAGAGCTGGCACTTTGTGGTTTGTTCACACCAAACTCTTCATCTCACAGTTTATTTCCTGCTCTATCTTCTCCCTCTCCTTCGTCCTCATCACCTCCTGCATCGCCGTCTTCTCCTGCAGCGCTGTGGAGCAGCCAGATGTTGTTTTCTCCATCGAGCAGCTCCGTTGTGGTCAGGCTGAAACACACTCAGCAGTGCCTGCATCAGAGGATTCTGGGACTTCTGACATGCATGACTCTGACAGTGAGTGTCTCGCCAGCTCCGATCAAACTGAGGACGCGAGTTCAAGTACCAGCAGCGCTGCAGACCTCTTCTTCAAGCTGAAAGAGAAGCCGGAGGAGCTTCTCCAGTTGGCTCCCGAGGCCGGAGACGTCATCGTGCCGCTGACAGGTGAGACAGACCAAAGCACAGCTGATGAAGGTTCACATTTTAATATTTAGTTCAAGAATATTTTGGTTTTATTGACCAGTTTTCTGTCTCTGTCAGATATTGTTGAGCTGTCCTTCGTCAGTCTGTCCACTCAAGACTCGGTGCCGGACCACCCGCAGGATCTGTGCACTCCACAGCTGCGACAGCTCCTCTCGCCCATCTTCAACTCAACATCATCATCACCATCACCATCACCATCACCATCACCGACCTCCTCTGCTGATCCTGAGCCGGTAAATAAGAGCCTTCAATCTTTCTAGAACTTGAAAGTATTAGTTTCTTTGTCTGATTTAATGGTTTACTCTCTGTTCGGTGTCCTCAGAGCTCCAACGAGGAGGAGGTGATGGACACCAGCGAGGTGGAGAAGTTCTTTGCTGTCTGGCCAGACGATGGTCAGAAGAAAGAAGGAGAAACACTGGAGGGGATGGATCTGGAGATGTTGGCTCCTTACATCTCGATGGACGATGACTTCCAGCTGACCTTCCTCAGCAGTTTGCCAGAGGAAGCCGACAAATCTTCGTCCTCTTCATTTGAATCCTCTGCAGTGACGCCTGCAGTCAAAGTGAACAGGAAACGGTATGAGTTCTCTCTCTCAGGTGGATGCATTTAATCATTCTTTGATAATCACATTTTCTATGTCTGCGATTACTTAATTAGCTTTGAGGAGACTTAAGGGGGTTGATTAAACAAAAGGTCACAACTGGAGATGCTTGACATTTGCTTATAGTATTTCACTCCAAAAGACACATATTACATTTTTATTATTAGCTTTTATTACATAATATATAATACTAATGCTATAATAATCATTTCTGAAATAATGATCACATGAATTCGGAAGCTATCTCTGTATAATGTCTCATAAGTTGAGACTTTATCTAATGGATAATGAATGTTAATTTTGAGGGGCTGTTGCTTTAATCTGACAAAATAACCCTGACCCTGCTGCCTGTATGTTAGCCGGCTAGCTGCCTAAAATTGGGTCATGTGCTGATGTAAGGAAATTCACAGGGCCTCCCGTTGGTTGTACCATTCATTATTAATCATCAATGAAAGTTAAAAGACGTAATGTAAGTGTAAAGTTTGTCCAGAGGGTGTCGCCAGAGGAAAGGCCATGTTAGCTAAAGGGTTTATCCACCGTACGGGCGTATCAGACTTCACTTTGACGACTAATGGAAGTCAACCTCAGCTGTACTTAGGGTTGAATGCTAACATCAGCTACTTTCTTATCTCCTTAAAGCAGTATTGGCAAGACAATATAATTGTTTATTGATCCCTCAGAGGGGAAATCCAGGTATTACAGCAGCACAAAGACAATAAATAAATAAAGAACAATAAATAATTTAAGTGTATATAATATAAGGCAATATAAGGCAATAGCAGTACACATTACAGTACCCATACGCCTCAGGCACAGTGACATATGTGTGATCAGTAGCTAAAATCAGCCAAGCATGGAAGAGTAAAATGGTGCAGTCAGCTATAATAAAAATACAAACGTTTACATGGTTTACAATGTGGCACTGCGTCTGTTGTAGGACCCACAACCCGGATGAGGAGCTGCTGTCCCAGCTGATGATTCAGGACAAGAGACAGAAACATGATGCTTCCTCAATAGAAGAGGAACTTCTCCTCAGCCACAGATTGCTGGTGAGTGGACAGCGAGGACGTGGAAGAAATATGCTTATCCAGCACTTCATTTAAAAAGAGGTTTACAAAGTGCTTTACAGAATGAAAGGAAGACGGATCATTTTTCTGCCTTGAGAACTTTCCAGTGTCTCTCAACATCTGCAGGAAAATAATTTCACATATTGGAATTAATTCGGACCATTTTCCCGAGCAGAGAGAACACAGATGTGACGAGTTATTTTGCACTGAGCTTTGATTCAGTTTTGGTTGTTTTTAAGCTCTGTCTGCAGTGAAATCCCCAAATCTGATGTGTTAAATACAAACAGATCACAGGCTGATCATTACACAGCTTTCATTCAAACCTTCTTCCAGCACGCAGAATATTTTCACTTTATAAACGGAAAGCAGCAGTCAGGAAGCACAGAACATAACATCAGCGGTTATTAGTGGCCGTATTTATCTGTGCAACAAAGCACCATATATCATTATAATTAACTTGACTTGTTGAGGTGTTGAACCTCCTTCTGACCATTTATTTTAACCTCCATCTTCAGGGCTGTCTGGACGAAACCGACCAATCAGATTTGGTCCTGGACCCGGGACCGGGAGGGCGGAGTCAGCTGCTCACAGACAAAGACCCACTTTTAGGAGGCATACAGGGACTCTGTGATACTGCAGGTAAAACACACACACACACACAAACACGCAGAGCTACAGACTGATTGAATAGTTTCCACCCTCATAGTTTGAGTTAAAATTAAAACTAGTAAACAAGAACATATTCAACTTTGAGGTGACATGACGCTCTCTGGTGGTCATATTGGAGCTCTGCAGCAGTAATGTTCCCACTGAAGGCGAAGCGAGTATTCGCCTCACGTACTTGATGATTTAATGTCAATAAACTGATCAAAAGGATGCAGAAATAATTACATTATGAAGGTGATTTGTAAAAAGTCTGAATTCTTGCTTTATGGGGTCTGTATGCAAGATGAGGAGCAAACAGCTTTTAAAATGCTTGTTTTCTGAATGGAGTTCGGATTGATCAGGACTAAAACCGACAGCTGGAATCAGTTTGTGTCACCCAATCACCCAGCACGAATTAGCGTCTTTATATCGACTTTGTTTGTAATCTACTCGCCTTGGTGGGAACGCAGCACAAGAGTTTAGACAGGAAATGTTCAAGGATCAGTTAATAACTTATATTTCATCTTTTTCTGTTTCACATATGGTACATTAAGTATCCATACACCAGTAGAGCACATTGTGTATTTTATATAATTACATATACTGTTACATTACACTCTTAGAGACTGGACTGTTGGCCTCTATGTAGGTCTGTTCCCTCTGAGTGCCTTTCTAGTTAATGTGTGTATTTCCTCATCCAGATCACATGTTTAAGTCAGGTCTCTAATAGTGTTTGTCTGTCTCTTCCAGCTCTGATGAGGGACATATTCATACCTCGCCCACCTGACCTGTCGCCACTGCTCTCGCCTCTGACTTGACCGCGTCCCTTTCAATCAAGAGTTGCTCTCGACTTCTTCTACACTCAAAAGCGAGAAAGTCGACGCCGGATCTGTCTGGAAAAAAAACAACAACCTGAGTGCACACATACAAACGCAACACACCACAAACACGTACGCACACGAATATAAAACTCACACACGCTGCGTAGCCATGACGCGAGGTCGGACGTGACCTCGTTGCTTGTAGCTGAACCAGGACGGTCATTTATGTCTGGTGACGTGTTGTAAGGCAGGTGGGAGGTGCTGTTCGCTCTCTTAAACCCATCGCTGCCCAGTCGCTTGTTTTCCGTCGACATTTACACTGATTTTAATGTGAGAAACCATCATTGTGGTTAGTCTGTTTCATGGAAGCAGCAGCAGGCGGTGCTAAAATTCTGATGTAAAAGATTTAAGAAATCCTACATTGAGACAAATCTGGTAATTATTTCTCTGGGCAGCTAAATTCAATTTATCCCAGCTTTCCAGGTTTATCACATTTCATTTGTTTTTAGTGCTTCTACCATTTTTAAACAAGTCCTGCACAGGAACTCCCATAATGCTTTGCTTTGAGCCAACATCCATACACATGAACAGTCTTCTGCTGTTATTATTTCCTTTTTGTGTCAAATTACACAAACAAACTAGCGAAATATCAGTGGCATCGTTTATTTCAGTGGCATATTTGTACGTCTTTTTATACACTCAATGCTAAACCTTTTCAAATAGTACATGTATCAGAAAGGTAGGACTTGTTGTTACCGTGTTATTGAAGAGTTAACAATCGTCTGGTGTTTGTTTTAATCATCCTGAGGTGCCAGGTGGGTGGGGTTTACCTCATCTAACACTCCCTGTAAGCTAATGTGAGGCGATTAATCAAAGTGGACTAAAACAAACCATAAATCAGCTGTTTGATTTAAACATATAGTCTGATTAACTTACTGAAGCCATTAACATTAATGAGACAAACAGTAGAGTTAGCTTGTTTATATACTCATTAGAAATGTAATTAAGCTACACTAGTATTCTTTTTTTTTTGTCATGTATGAGTTTGAATTGAAAACAAATTGTGCCTCAGCATATATGAGCTGAATGTCTAAATTGTATTTTTTTTAGTTGCAGTGCTCGATGAAATATTGTGATGCTACTACACTGTCTGAGATGTGGAGGATTGTTTTTATTCGGCCATATTTTCTACATATAAACCCTGAAACTGCCTAATTCAATGTAAACGGACATTTGTTTAAACATGTTCTTCCAGAGTTCTCTGTGCCTTTTTTATCATCCAGTGAAAAGAGGTTTCATTAAAAGGTTTTCTCCATCCTGTTTCATCTTTTACCTTACGCACAAGATCTGATCTAATGAGAACATTTAATCTTGCTGTTTCTACGGTTTATCCTGTATGTATTCTTGAGCTAAATAAAAAAAAGAGGTTGAAGCAAAAGCAGAAGCTGCTGTGTGATGTGTGTGCAGATGAAACATTACCTCATTGAGGGCGGAGCGGCTCCATCTGTAGGTGATTATTAGTAAATGTTAAACAGGAACAGGAGTGTCAGATCGCCTCAGCGCTGTCAAAACAGGAAAATCACATTCTTGGTGTCAGTGGCTTTTAGCATGGAAGTGATATTCTAACTAGAACACAACAACAGTATTGTTTCATGAAACAAAGAGTGGTTGACTGTAAACTGCGGCCCTGTTTAATCACCTTACAGCCTTCAATATAAACACCTCTGTGGTGACTTAATATGCTGCATCGAGGGGCGGGTGTAGAGAAATATTCATGGGGTTGGCATGGAGACAAATATAAGCTGATTTAATTAATTTAAACTAACAGCATTTGAGACCGAACCAGGGTGGCCAGGCATTTTATAGCCACTCCTCTACATCCGTCCCTGGCTGCATTTCTTTAGGTTGTATGAGTACATTTAGTCAGGTATTGCATTTAAGTATAATTTTGAGGAACTTCAGGGTTTCCATTCCCAAGACAAGCTTATAAATACAATGCTTTGTTAAAGCAGTGGTTCCATTATTTCTGGTTTGTGACTTTTTACCAAAACATTAGCATCTAGTTGAGGCCTGTTTCACACGTCTAGCACTTCTATAAAAGAGGGATTCCCCCTCTGAACTTCTGATGTGGTTTCATTTAAACTGTTTGAAGTCTAATAAGATTTTAAATTAGCCAATATTTTTGCAAAAACTAAAATTAAGCAAAAAAAAAAAAAAAGATAAACGTGTGTATTGTATTTGTTTTTTTATTTATTTCCTCTTCCATTAATTGTCACACGACCCTTCAGATTTAAGATGCTTATGATTTAATGAGTAAATAAAGCAGTGACTTTTCAACCTGGCTGTTCTACCTCCACCTGACCAGGTGTGTTCAGTCAATCAATAGGTGAAAGGAACTCCAGATGCAGAGCTGGAGACAACTGGTTAAATTAGATATATAAAAAAAACACTTAACACATCCCTTAAATCACAATTTCAAAGATGTTCCCATCAGCCCCGACTGGGTAACTGCATCGTTTGCAAAACCTCATTCTGGTGTCACACATACACACACACACATATCAGTGCCACACACACTGTTGTCACACTCTGGTCTCTTGGAGGAAATCCTCTGATCTGAGGAGGGAAATCCTCCAGCCGCTCCCTTCTTGCAATAAGACCCTTTTGAAAGAGAGAGATTTCTACTGGGGCAACATTTCGTTCTTTCTGGTAACAGTTTCAAAGCTTCACTCCATTGTTTCCTCTCTGCTTTAAACTTCTGTAAATTCAGTGTTGGTTCAGTCACTTTTTTTGTACTCTGTGTTCAAAAGGTTGTTTGCTGTCTGCGATGACGTGATGTCCTCAAGCACTGGACAGTTAAATGGCTCCTGGTTACATATCACTGGTGGATAAATGACTCACAAGGTGTTCAGTTCTTTGATTTCTCAACTAAAAATGTCAGAAGACGGGAAAACAAAAAGAACAAAATTCTGTAGATTAGGAAGAAACTGAAGTGACTAAAAGCAATACCACAACCGTCGCACAAACACACGCCCACAGTACAGTATGTGGTTGTATTGGGCAACAGTGGAATAAGTATTCAGATCCTTTACTTAATAACACAACTTTAAAATACTCCATTACAAGTAAAACTGCAGCATTTTAGATCCTACTTAGAGTAAAAGAACAGTAAATTTATCAGCTAAATGTAGTTTAAGTATGTCGAAATGCAGTTAAACATAAGAGAACTGATGGATTTTCAAATTAATCATTAGTCCAGTGGTTCCGAACCTAGGGGTCGGGCCCCTCCACAGAGCCACAACATAAAACAGAAGGGTTGTGAGATGTTTAATAGGAGAGGAAAGAAGACAAAACAACGCTCTGTTGAACAAATTTCTTTTCATCTTTGACTGTGCAGAAGATGGGAGATCGAAACGCCCACCAATCATCTGGGGATTCTAAATGCAAAATAGTTGCTTGGATGACAGCGAGAATGGCCAAAGATTTCTCTAATTGTTTCCACCCAGTTTTAGCAACAGAGGCTGTGAGAAAGTCTTCAATCTATATTGTGTTAAGTGTTTGGAGACTGAACTGAGTCCAACACACAAATTAAGAAAACCTCATCAATGTGACGACACGTGCAGCATTTAGAAAACGCAATGCAAATACACGTAACCACAACAGCCACAATAGGTTTAGGATGAAATATTGAATATTTATGACTCTTATTTGTCTAAAATAAACCATACATTTGGAGGGAACTGCCAACAACTGATAGAAATATGACAAGGTCTCACAAAGAGATTAGGAACCTCTTGTTTAATCTATAAAACTCACTGCATTTTACAGTCTTATATGTTTTAAACTAAAATTTGAAGAGTAACTGCGAACTGAAACTGTTCCTGTGAAGTTAAACGCTCCCCCTGCCAGTTATGATGTCTGATGTGATCTGAGTTTGACTCTTAAGATGTGATCTTCTATCTGGTCCAGTCTGATTGAGGGAAAACTAATAAGGAGGGAGCAGAAACCTGGTCCTTTCCACCTTTGGTTCTGTTTTTATGGCTTTATTTCTGTTAGGTTTAGTTCTGACATTGATTTAGAATCCAGATTGTTTGATCTCTTCTATTAGGAACCTTTCTTGGGGTCATAATAAGTACTTTAAACCTGCACTGAACTACTTGAGTAAATACTTCAGTCATTTTCCACCACTGGTACTAGGAAACACTGGTTTGTCTTTATCAATGACCATCCATTCATCTGACTGTAACCACAGCTGACTGCTTACTGTACACAGCACCAACTGTTCTCTTTTTCATTTCCTAACAGACCCGTCCAGCTAACTTCTCCTTTTAGTCAAACTGGACAAACTTGCTAAACTCACCCAGGATTCATACTAAAACAGGAAGTCAGATTAACTCTTACTCACCATCATGTGTCACCACGGTACTGCAGTGGACAGTGAATCAGAGATCATTCTCACCGGATTGATCCATTATGGTTTACTATAAATTAAAAATCACCTCCATCCTGTTTCCACGGAAAAATCCTCACAGGTAGTGATGGGTTTCATGTTTATGGACGCAACAGCAGCAGTTTATTTGGGATAACTACAAGAAGGCCACTTTACACTTATTATGTTTTTATTTTATTTAAAGCTGCACTGTATCTTATGTTCTCTCATCAACTAGGATATTAACACTCAAGTTAGAATAAAAGTGTGCAGGTCTTTAAATATGTGAATGTAAGTCAAAAGTGTTACTTATATAAAATACACAGTGAAGATTCCTAGAGAATCAGTAAAACGTTATTTCTTATATATCAGACCACATCAAAAAGTCTAAATATGTTGTTGAAGCTTTCTCAAACTGGAGATACCTGAAGAGAAAATCTCATTCTACAGGTTTTTATTAATTAAACTGTTGTGTGAGTGTGGGCTGACCTGCAGCAGGTGGAGGGAAAGGTCAGTCAGGTCAGGAAAACAAAAAACTAGTTTATTGGCAGGATCTAAAAAACGAGCCAAACAACACGTACATCTACAGACTCTAGTATCAAACTCTGTGTTGATTCTTGTTTATGAGAAAATTGACGAATTGTTTTAGAATCAAAGTTAATCAAAGCTGCTATCCTGTAAAGCAGGTTAATGCAAGTGCTGCTAGATCTCCAAAATATCAGAAATGTAGGGAATAAAAATCCTGAAAGGCTTTCTTTATCTGCTGTGTTAAACCCATCAGCTGTGTCCTGTGTCCTGCTGCAGCACTGACTACAACCCAGGTGATACACGTTAACTCCAACGCACAAACAAGGCCAGGATGTCAAACAAATAAACATCTCAACATTTATTCATCATATAATTCTGTGCAATAATACAATGTACAAATAATCTTTATGCAAGTATTACAATCCATATAATAGTTTATAATTTGTTGGCACAAAATAAAACATAAAATACATTCAAGGTCTGTGAAGGCGTCAGTCGCTCTGCAGAGAGTGACGGAGAGGACTCAGCCAAGTGAAGGAAAGACACAGTCTCAAATCAATGATTGATCATTGATGGGTTTCAGGTTATTTGGGGGATTTGGTCCAAACATCTATGGTTGCGGGTTGTGGAATCAAAACTGTTATTTGGTTAAAAGCACCTGTGTTCTGCACCGAGGCCACCAGGGCAAATAAAGGTAAAATTATTTCATGTCAGTAAACAGAAAGATTCTTTTTACTGTACATAAATATTAATATTATTTGTTTTCTCTCACCAATAAATGAACACAGGAGAAACACTTTTACAGACCGTTTGGTTTCCAAACATTTTCAGGTCTCTAAAAATATCCGCTGTACACAAAATCAACATCACAACACGCTGTTGGTCCAAACTGAGTTTCATAAAGTTACCATGTTGTACCCGAGTGTCTGTGCGCCACGCTGGCTTCAGATCCACAACAACCACAGTCCAACTTGACTCAAAATTCTCAGATAGAAATGGAATAGAGTGGGTTGCCATGGAAACACAGGTTTTCTGCAACAGCACGCCACTGACTTCACGAAAGGAAGCCTCGATCAGCCCCGTCACTGACGGGAAGGATGGACGACGTCTCCAGAACAACACTGAAAACACACACACACACACACACACACACACTTACACTTTTATCTCACCACTGTCCTGTGAAAACCTCGGTATTCTATATTTAAACTGAAGAATTACAGTCTCATTTAAATAAAAAGGTTTTAAAACAATGAAATGCATTGTTATCGCAGTAAAAACAGGGTTTTTTTTCTCCTGAAGACATTCTGGACACAAGGTTTTCACCAGACGGCACATAAACTCTCCTCTCCTGCCACATACATTCATACAACACACTATACAATCAACATTTTATTTATAAATGTACTCTAGTCCTCCACATTCAGGTCTTTGTGACGTAACAACTGGCCAATCAGAGCTTATCATCTTTGTCTAAAATA